TGCATCCGAATGGACTCGTTGTTCCTTGGGAGGGGGTCTCTCTCAGATGGAAGATACCCTCCAGGGATCTTTCATTTGGAGGCCCCAGCAAGATCTGAGACCCCCCACCCAGGGACCACCAACCCACCTTCGGGAGGTAAGCTGGCCAGCCGTCTTTTCTGTTGTATGTATCTGTCTTGTCTGTTGTGTGCTTCTGTGTCTGTTCTGTTTGCAATCTGAGACTTGATCAAGTCATCTGAATCAGGCGGAAAGTAAGAAGGGGTTGACGAATCCAGGACTTCTGTTCCGCGATCTCTGGAAGACGTTTCAGGGTGTCTGAGTGAGTCTGAGTGGGTTCGAGTCCCACTGCTGACTCCCATCTGAGAGGGTCTGAGTGGGTTCGAGTCCCACTGACTCTCATCTGAGAGGGTCTACTGTCGTGGGTTCGAGTCCCACTAGTCGTGGGTTCGAGTCCCACCGACTCTCATCTGAGCGGGAGCCAATCTTTTTGGCTCCCCATCTGTTTGAAAGAACGAGCCGACTCGGACTTTTCAGGGCCTCGCCCCTGTTCGAAGGCTACGGGCTCCATCTAGAGGACAGAGGAACAAGACCTCCTCCACAGTCTCCATCTGAGTTTTTACTTTCGGTTTTGCGCCGATCTTGTGCCGCGCGGCTTGTGTTGTGTTTTGTCTGTCTAGTTGTGGTAATAAGTGTGATAAGTGTTTTCCATCTATCTGAAAATATGGGACAAACTGTCTCTACCCCCAAAAGTTTAACTTTACAGCACTTCAAGGAAGTCCGTGACATCGCCCACAATCTCTCAGTGGAAGTGCGAAAAGGAAAATGGGACACCTTTTGTTCATCTGAGTGGCCAACCTTTAACGTGGGCTGGCCACGAGATGGCACCTTTAACCTAGAAGTTATTTTGCAGGTGAAAGCAAAGGTCATGGACTCTGGACCCCATGGACATCCTGACCAAGTCCCATATATCATCACGTGGGAATCTCTGGTCAAAGATCCCCCATCATGGGTAAAACCTTTCCTTCCCCCTTGCCCGAAACCTACACCGTCCGCTCCCTCCCTTCCTCCACCACTGATTCCGACCCCGGTTAACTCCGCCCTTTACCCGGCCCTCACAAAAGCGGTACCGGCGGAGACCTCCGGGCGTAAAAAGAGACCTCCGGTGCTGCCGGCAGACGAGGGCCCCCTTCTGGACCTTCTAACTGAACAACCACCCCCTTACCGGGGCCCAGCCCCCGCCCCTGAACAACAGGCAGGGGCTGCCGGGCAGGGGTCACCGGAAGAACCTGCCTCGTCACCGGAAGGACCCGCCTCGTCACCGGAAGAACCCGCCTCGTCTCCGGTGGCAGGGCGGTTGCGGGGGTGCCGGGAGGTCCCTTCCGGTTCTTCCTCCCAGACTCTTCCGTTGCGGACGGGGCCTGACCGTCAACTCCAATACTGGCCCTTTTCTGCCTCTGACTTATATAATTGGAAAAATAATAACCCTCCTTTCTCAAAGGACCCGTCTAGGTTAACAGCCCTCATTGAGTCCATTCTAGTGACTCACCAGCCCACCTGGGATGACTGCCAACAGCTGCTCCAGACGCTGCTGACTACGGAGGAAAAACAACGAGTCATCTTGGAAGCCCGTAAACATGTTCCAGGAGATGATGGATTACCTACTCAGTTGCCCGATAGAATAGACGCTGCTGTCCCCTTAGAACGACCTAACTGGGATTTCTCCACTGAGCGCGGTAGGGAACACCTACGTCTTTATCGCCAGTTGCTCTTAGCGGGTCTCCGAGGGGCTGCAAGACGCCCTACCAATTTGGCCCAGGTTAAGTTAGTGACTCAAAAGCCAGAAGAATCCCCCACTGCTTTCCTAGAACGACTTAAGGAGGCATACCGTATGTACACTCCATATGATCCAGAGAACCCAGATCAGGCAACCAACGTGGCCATGTCTTTCATTTGGCAGTCCGCCCCAGATATCAGAAAGAAGTTAGAAAGACTAGAAAACTTAAGAGAAAGTTCGGTACAGGACTTGTTAAAAGAGGCAGAGCGGATTTTTAACAAGAGAGAAACACAGGAAGAAAGAGATGAGAGGCTAAGAAAAGAAGCAGAAGAGAGAGAAAATATGAGAGAACGTAAGAGAAACAGAGAATTCAGTAAGTTGTTGGCCACCGTAGTGACAGGTCAGAGACAGAATAGACAGGACCTGGGAGACCGTAAAAACTATCCAGCAGATAGAGACCAATGCGCCTACTGTAGAGAAAAAGGTCATTGGGCCCGTAATTGCCCAAACAAGCCAAAGGGGCCACGTAAACCCCGGCCACAAACCACCCTGCTCAACCTCGAAGATTAGGGGGGTCAGGGTCAGGAGCCCCCCCCTGAACCCAGGATAACCCTCAACGTGGGGGGCCAACCTGTCACCTTCCTGGTGGATACCGGAGCTCAACACTCAGTGCTCACCACATCTCCAGGACCCCGGTCTGACAGGTCAGCGTGGGTCCAGGGGGCTACTGGAGGAAAAAGGTGCCGCTGGACAACCGAAAGAAAAGTACTACTCTCCACCGGTAAGGTGACTCATTCTTTCCTACATGTACCTGATTGCCCTTACCCGTTGCTAGGGAGAGATCTATTAACCAAGCTCAAAGCACAGATTCACTTTGAGGGGACTAAAGCCCATATTACGGGGCCACAGGGACAGCCGTTGCATGTACTGACCTTAAACCTGGAAGATGAATACCGGCTATATGAGCTTGAGGGGCCTCTGGCCAAGAACATATCTGACTGGTTAAATAACTTCCCATCTGCCTGGGCAGAAACGGGAGGAATGGGGCTGGCCACCCAACAGCCACCCCTAATTATACCCCTCAAAGCAACCGCAACTCCAGTATCCATCAAACAATACCCTATGTCTCAAGAGGCCTACCGAGGAATTCGGCCCCACATTAAAAGACTCTTAGACCAGGGAATTCTGACCCCCTGTCAGTCTCCCTGGAATACACCCCTCCTTCCAGTCAAAAAGCCTGGCACGGGCGATTATCGCCCTGTGCAAGATCTAAGAGAAGTCAACAAACGGGTAGAAGATATACACCCAACAGTCCCTAACCCATACAATTTGCTGACTGGATTACCACCAACCTATGTATGGTACACGGTCCTGGACCTCAAGGATGCATTCTTTTGTTTAAGGCTTCATCCACAGAGCCAGCCTATTTTTGCCTTCGAGTGGAGGGACCCAGAGTTGGGACTATCGGGGCAACTCACCTGGACTAGGCTCCCACAGGGGTTTAAAAACAGCCCCACCTTATTTGATGAGGCGTTACACCGGGATCTGGCCGACTTTAGGGTTCAAAACCCTGCCTTAATCCTACTTCAATATGTAGATGATCTCCTCCTGGCTGCAGAGACTGAGGAAAAATGTAGAGAAGGAACAAAGGCCCTCCTAGTCACCCTGGGAACTCTAGGGTATCGGGCCTCGGCTAAAAAGGCCCAAATATGTCAAAAGCAGGTTACGTACCTAGGTTACCAGATTAGGGATGGACAAAGATGGCTAACAGAAGCACGAAAACAGACAATCCTGAGTATTCCAGTGCCTAAGAGCCCACGACAGTTGAGAGAGTTCCTGGGGACGGCGGGGTTCTGTCGGATCTGGATCCCAGGGTTCGCAGAGATGGCTGCACCGCTCTACTCACTTACAAAACCAGGTACCCTCTTTACCTGGGAAAATGAACAACAAAAAGCCTTTACGGCTATCAAAAAGGCCTTATTAACTTCCCCCGCATTGGGACTTCCTGACTTAAATAAGCCCTTTGAGCTATTTATTGATGAAAAACAAGGCTATGCAAAAGGAGTCTTGACCCAAAAACTGGGACCCTGGAGGCGCCCAATTGCCTACCTGTCTAAGAAACTTGACCCGGTGGCTACAGGATGGCCTCCCTGTTTGAGAATGGTCGCAGCAATTGCTCTCCTAACTAAGGACTCTAGTAAGCTAACTATGGGACAACCGATAACAGTTCTGGCTCCTCATGCAGTGGAAGCCCTGGTTAAACAACCTCCGGGTCGATGGCTTTCCAATACCCGTATGACCCACTACCAGGCCCTACTGCTGGACGCTGACCGCGTACACTTTGGTCCGGTGGTAGCCCTCAACCCGGCATCATTACTTCCCCTATCGGAGAGTCCAGAAACTCATGACTGTCTCCAGATACTTGCAGAGGTACACGGCACTCGGCCTGACCTAACCGATCAGCCCCTGCCCGATGCTGACTTCACCTGGTACACCGACGGGAGTAGCTTTCTGGACAACGGAGAACGAAGAGCAGGGGCTGCGATCACCACTGAGACTGAGGTAATTTGGGCTAAGGCTCTACCACCCGGCACCTCGGCACAACGGGCCGAACTCATCGCCCTGACTCAGGCCCTCCGGATGGCGAAAGGTAAGAAGCTCAACGTTTATACCGATAGCCGCTATGCCTTTGCCACTGCACATATTCATGGAGAGATATACCGGAGAAGGGGACTATTAACTTCAGAAGGAAAAGAGATCAAAAACAAGACTGAGATATTAGCCTTGCTTGAGGCATTGTTTTTGCCTCTAAAGCTGAGTATCATCCACTGTCTGGGTCACCAAAAGGGAAATAGCCCTGAGGCTCGAGGCAACCGTCTGGCAGATGAGGCTGCCAGAAAGATAGCACAACAGAAAGACTTTACAATCTCTCAGACCCTGACCATAAAGAAAATAAAGCGAGGGTCTATTCTTCAATATAGCCAGGAAGACCAAAACTTACTCAAAGAAATGGGGGCCACCTACCGGCCTGAAACTCAAAAGTGGATATTTAGAGGAAAACCAGTGTGGCCCCAACGTATGACTTATTATTTGATTGACCAACTTCATAAGCTAACCCATCTGAGTCACAAAAAGATGAAAACCCTCCTTGAAAGGGAGGAGGACACCCACTATCTGTTGGGAAAGGACAAAATTTTACAACAAGTTGCCGAGAGGTGCACCGCGTGTGCACGAGTTAATGCTGGACAAAACAAGGTGGGCTCCGGGGTCAGAGTGCGAGGGCACCGACCCGGGACTCATTGGGAGATTGACTTCACAGAGGTCAAGCCTGGACTATATGGATACCGCTATTTGCTGGTGTTCATGGACACTTTCTCCGGATGGGTAGAGGCTTACCCTACCAAACATGAAACTGCAAAAGTTGTCACCAAAAAGTTGTTGGAAGAAATCTTCCCCAGGTACGGTATGCCACGGGCGTTGGGCTCCGACAATGGCCCTGCATTCGTCTCCCGGGTAAGTAAGTTGGTGGCCACATTACTGGGGATCGATTGGAAATTACACTGTGCATACCGCCCCCAGAGCTCAGGACAGGTAGAGCGTATGAATAGAACAATTAAGGAGACTTTAACTAAATTAACGCTTGCAACTGGCGAGAGAGACTGGGTGACCCTCCTTCCCTTGGCGCTATATCGGGCCCGGAATACTCCTGGCCCTCATGGACTTACCCCCTTTGAAATCCTCTATGGTGCCCCTCCCCCAGCTGTTCATTTCTTAGATTCTGATATAGGTGGCTTCGCTAACTCTCCTTCCCTTCAGGCTCATCTGCGGGCGCTTCAAATAATACAACGAGAAGTGTGGAAGCCTCTGGCAGCTGCATACCAAGAACGGCTAAACCAACCTGTGGTACCACATCAATTCCAGATCGGGGACGTGGTCTGGGTGCGACGACATCAGGTCAAGAACTTGGAACCGCGCTGGAAGGGGCCCTACACTGTACTGCTGACGACACCTACAGCCCTAAAGGTAGACGGCATCGCCGCCTGGGTCCACGCCTCCCACGTCAAAGCCGCCGCCCCCGAGGACCAGCTCGACAACCCAGACTCGAAAGCCAGATGGAAACTTCACCGCACTCAAAATCCACTAAAGATAAGATTGACTCGTGGGGAGCCCTAATAACCTTGTGTTTCATTTTAAGTCTAAAAATAGCCTATGCGTCCCCACATCAGATTTACAACTATACTTGGGTCATTGAAAACCAGGCTGGAGATATAGTTATGACAAGCTCCTCTATTGGGGCCCAGCCCCATTGGCCAGATTTAGAAGTGGATCTCTGTGCCCTCGCCCTTGGAGCAGATACCGACTGGGCAGTTTCCGATATCTTCTGGCCTCCTCCTGGGGGCCAAGCACCTGAACGAATCACCCCAGGACGGGCCACCAACCCAAGCTGTGTTAATTCAGTTGGGAGGGCCCTTTTACGGGGTCCCCCTGGCAGTGGGGTAGGGGGAATTTATATATGCCCTGGCACCCATAGAAATAGAACTCTTAATCATAAATGTGGATGGGCAGATCAACATTTTTGTGCTTCATGGGGCTGTGAAACTTCGGGGGACACTTA